TTGTAAGACTGTAGTGTGTTCTGTAAGACTGTAGTGTGTTTTGTAAGACTGAAGTGTGTCTTGTAAGACTGTAGTGTGTCTTGTAAGACTGTAGTATGTCTTGTAAGGCTGTAGTGTGTCTTGTAAGACTGTAGTGTGTCTTGTAAGATTGTGGTGTGTCTTGTAAGACTGTAGTGTGTCTTGTAAGACTGTAGTGTGTCTTGTAAGACTGTAGTGTGTCTTGTAAGACTGTAGTGTGTCTTGTAAGACTGTAGTGTGTCTTGTAATTGTAGTATGTCTTTTAAGACTGTAGTGTGTCTTGTAAGACTGTAGGGTGTCTTGTAAGACTGTCGTGTGTCTTGTAAGACTGTAGTGTGTCTTGTAAGACTGTAGTGTGTCTTGTAAGACTGTAGTGTGTCTTGTAAGATTACAGTGTGCCTTGAAAGACTGTAGTGTGTCTTGTAAGACTGTAGTGTGTCTTGTAAGACTGTAGTATGTCTTCTAAGACTGTAGTATGTCTTCTAAGACTGTAGTATGTCTTGTAAGACTGTAGTGTGTCTTCTAAGACTGTAGGGTGTCTTGTAAGACTGTAGGGTGTCTTGTAAGACTGTAGTGTCTCTTGTAAGACTGCAGTGTGTCTTGTAAGACTGTAGTTTGTCTTGAAAGACTGTAGTGTGTCTTGTAAGTCTGCAGTGTGTCTTGTAAGACTGTAGTGTGTCTTGTAAGACTGTAGTATGTCTTGTAAGACTGTAGTGTGTCTTGTAAGACTGTAAAGTCTTGTAAGACTGTAGTGTGTCTTGTAGGACTGTAGTATGTCTTGTAAGACTGTAATGTGTCTTGTAAGACTGTAGTGTGTCTTCTAAGACTGTCGTATGTCTTGTAAGACTGTAGTGTGTCTTGTAAGACTGTAGTATGTCTTGTAAGACTGTAGTGTGACTTGTAAGACTGTAGTGTGTCTTGTAAGACTGTAGTGTGTCTGGCAATACTGTAGTGTGTCTGGCAAGACTGTAGTGTGTCTTGTAAGGCTGCAGTGTGTCTCGTAAGACTGTAGTGCGTCTTGTAAGACTGTAGTGTGTCTTGTAAGACTACAGAGTGTCTTGAATTACAGTGTGTCTTGAAAGACTGTAGTGTGTCTTGTAAGACTGTAGTGTGTCTTGTAAGACTGTAGTGTGTCTTGTAAGACTGTAGTGTGTTTTGTAAAACTGTAGTGAGTCTTGAAAGACTGTAGTCTGTCTTGTAAGACTATAGTTTGTCTCGTAAGGCTAGACTGTGTCTTGTAAGACTGTAGTGTATCATGAAAGACTGCAGTGTGTCTTGTAAGACTGTAGTGTGTCTTGTAAAACTGTAGTGTGTCTTGTAAGACTGTAGTGTGTCTTGTAAGACAGTAGTGTGTCTTGCAAGACTGTAGTGTGCCTTGTGAAAGTGTAATGTGTCTTGTAAGACTGCAGTGTGTCTTGTAAGACTAGACTGTGTCTTGTAAAACTGTAGTGTGTCTTGTAAGACTGTAGTGTCTCTTGCAAGACTGTATTGTGTCTTGTGAAAGTGTAATGTGTCTTGTAAGACTGTAGTGTGTCTTGTAAGATTGTAGTGTGTCTTGTAAGACTGTAGAGTGTCTTTTAAGGCTGTAGCGTGTCTTGTAAGACTAGACTGTGTCTTGTAAGACTGTAGTGTGTATTGTAAGACAGTAGTGTGTCTTGTAAGACTGTAGTGTTTCTTGTAAGACTGTAGTGTG